CTGTTGCAACGACGGTTTCAACGACTGTTCAACGACGGTTCAACGCGTTATCACGCCTCTCGCGCGTGATTCAACGACCGTTCAGCGGCTTGGATGCCTGCGCAGTCCGATTGCACATCGCACTCGGCGTCGGCGATGGCCCCAAGCTTGGGACAGGCCCGGAGCCATTCGACACAGCGAGCTGGCTCCACTTGCCGATCTTCCCGAGCAGCGGGATACATGGCCAGGTGATGCCAACGATGTGTAGCAAGCGTTGCACCCCCAACGGGCGACTCCAAAAACTCCTCAGCATGGGCCTGCGCCGCATCCCGAAACTCGCGCCACGCAGCCATGCTGTTACGGCGGCGCCCATACCACTTGCGAACAAAAATATCGAAGCCGTTGCCTGGTCACTGCAGGCTGCGTCGACCGTCGTCGTTTCCTCCTCGGCCTCCTAACTGACGCCGAGCCAACCGGTCGATGGTCGGACGCGTTGGGGTGAGGTAAAATACGCGCGATGGAAACGGCTTGCTGCCGATGGCCATGCTGTGAAAAATCGTCGCCGACTCCTGCGAAGTCTGGGGCTTCACTGACCCACCATGTGGAGCCATCCCTGCGCATTCCGAGCCTCTGGAAAGGTTGCTCATCAGATTCGCCATCATGCGAAGCACCTACGACGCGCAGCAGCTCCTCCTGGTGTCCAAGGCAGGGGCCACGGATGCCATGATCCCCCTGGGGTGATGGAGCGCTGCTATGGCGCAGTGACACGGTTACGGTCGCCACCGATTGCACGTTCAACCCGTTGCACCTGGAACTCGGATTCGGAAACGCGGAGAGTCCTGACTAGCCCTCGGAGCTTGCGCGCGCGAGTGGCAGAAGCATCGCTGTTCAAGCACACGCTGACACGCATGCGGATGGAGGCAGCACCTGGAAATTCAAACCCATGAGCGACATGATTAACCCAAAGCCTCTGGCGCGGAATTTGCAGGAACTGGCAATCCGATGCGAAAAAGCAAACAGCTCGAGAGGCACGACGCCAAGCTAGGACATGCAGAAGTGCAGAGGTGCATAACAGAGGCATTACGAAAATGATTGAAGCAATAATCAGAAGCGGTGGCCTGTGAGGCGTGTAAATCGCTGGCACCAGGAATATCGAAGTTGTTACCAACGACCCACGTACTGGACAGTGCTATTATGTTTGTTAAACGTGGCACGGTCGGATCGACCGAAGTAGTGCAGGTTGGAACAAGCAGAACCTGCGAAATCGGAGTCCCATTTCTATTCAACGACGACCGCGTGCCCATCATCATTGATCCGGATTGGGTTCGTCTGGGCCTTTTCTGGCCACACGGGGGGCATCGCTTCTTAATTTGCTTGCCGAGTTCGCTGGGCATGCGTCCTGCGTTCATGTTACCAACGCTGTCCAAAACGTGCCCTCTAATCTGGCTTTACTCATCGCGTGCCAGTACCTTGCTTAATCTGCATACTCACTCCCTGCATTCTCGTGCGAACACGGCCACTCCGAACAAACACACACGTTCTTGGTGTAGGCCTGCCCCACCGCAAGCTTGAATCGTTCGCCCACGTTTGCCGTGCTTTGCGCGCTCGCTTTGAGGCTCCCTCGAGAGTGTGCTTTCGGATCGGGGGAAGGAGCCCTGCGGCCCCTTGTGCCGTCGTGAGGCCGTGCAACCTCGTGGCGCGCGACAGCGTATTCACCTTCCTGTCCATGCCGTTCTCGCCGCGTGACTGGGGCACGGACCCTCCCTTGGGGTGCACCAGTGGAACTCCAGGAGGGAAACGTGGAGGAGGAGGAGGGGGAAGAAGGATGAGGAGGAGGAGGCGGAGGAGGAGGAGGAGGGAGGAGGGAGAGGAGGAGGAGGAGGAGGAGGAGGAGGAGGAGGAGAAGGATGAGGAAGTGGAGGAGGAGGGGGAGGAGGAGGAGGAGGAGGAGGAATTGGAGGAGGAGGGGGAGCAGGAGCAGGTTCCCTCGTCGTGCCACGTGGTCGAATCAGCTGCCGAACGCCGGGGGCCGACCATCCTGCCCACGCGCTGCCCGGCTTCTCTCCGTCGGCAGGCCGCGCCCCGCCGGTGTCGGCAGTCGCTCCAAGGCTCATCGTCCTCTTTTGTATTGGGCCGGGCATGTCCTCCGACAGGCGGGTTGTGTAAGGAAAAGTAGAGCCAGTCAGAAATGCTCAAACCAAATAAAACAATAATCAAACAATCGTCCACAGACTATGTTTTTACTATTTTGAACATTCCTCCTGTAGGGGGACACGCCCGACTAAACTCTAGGCTCACCGCCCTCTTTTGTATCCAGAGATGCGAAAGATCCTGTGTACGGGGTTGTTAGCCTTGCGGTTGCGGTTTTCAACGGTTGCCACCTCATCGAAGTCACTGTCGAGAACTTGTCCTACTCCGACCTCCGTGCGTGGCTTCTTCGGGGCTGGGGCCGCATTGGCACCGTGCCGGCGCAATGGTAACTCAAGGGTGTCAGCGCGCAACCTGTCGTACAAGGCTAGGGGAGGAACTGGGCTCGCGTTGTGCAACCCACCCAGGCACGCCTGTGGCGTGAGCGCGCGAGAGGCGGCTGGGGACGGGGGAAGGAGACGAGGACCCCTGGGATCGAACGGCGTGTCCATGACGGTTACTGCTCGCAAGAGGAGCGACCGCCTTCTCCGCAAGGGAACCAGGGCAGCGCCTGGCACTGAAGAGGTGCGTAAGCTGGAGCTGGCCCGGCTCGAGGCGGGGCGGGGCGGGGCGGCGCGTCTGACCGCCCGGCGTCGGACAGGCCCTGTCCTGTTCCGACCGATCCTCTCCTTCGGGCCCCCTCCCGCCCCTGCGCGGCGGGGTTGGGGGGGGGGTGGTGGGGTAGAGGCGGAGGGAGCCTTGTGCAGCTCGCATTCGCTGGTGGGGTCGACAGAAGAGGAAGAGGCTGAGAGAAAAAGAGGTGGTGCCCTTCATCACTCGGGTCTGGGGGCTGATGGAGGGGGACGGATGAGCAGGGGACTTGAGCCTCATGTTTCGCACCTGTGGGTTGCGCAAGCGGGTGCGACCCTGTGCAACGAAGATCCACTGGGCGAAGAAGCGTGCCAACCCTTCCGTCAAACAAGTGTCTCTGGCATGGCACACTTCCAGGTTCAATCGAGGTAGTCTGCAAGGCTGGCGGCCGTGTCGCCGCACAGCTCCTTGGGATAACGCCTGTTGGGCGCTGTGCGGAACTGCCCTGACTCATCCCGAGACAGCCCCAACAAAACTGCAAGGCGGCCCCAAGAGGCCCCCACGGCGCTCCCCGAAGGCGCCAGCAGGCCCAGGGGCGCCCGAAGGCGACCCCGAGAGGCTACAGTACTGCCCAGGAGGGGCCCAGGAGGCCCCAAAGAAGGTCCACGAAGGCCAGATAAAAGCCCCACGCCAACCCCAAGGCAGTCCTCGAGGGCCCTTCCCCAGGAGTGCCCCCAGTGGTTTCCCCCGCGACGTCTGGGGTGCCATGCAGCCCACTAGCATGGCTGGGCTTGCGGCCGACATTTTTACCGTGCAAGCGTCTCCGAAACCAGGTGGTGGCGGTGACTCCCTGGAGGCGTTTTCAATCTCTCTCTCTCTCTCTCTCTCTCTCTATCTGTATATATATACATATGCATTTATGTGTGTATAGATATCTGCTACGTAAACCTATATACATATATTCCATATGTGAGAATGCGTAGCTGCTCCCAACATGATCAGACGTGCTCTTCTCCCAATCGTCTTCATCTTCTTCATATTATTGCTCATCTTCTGCGTGGATAGTTCGTTGGCGCCGTCTCATCTCGAGTGGTTCGGAAGCACCGGTTATCGGACATTGTCGGTTTGTATCCTCTGCTTGATCATGGGAGGGCGATGGGATCGACGATGCAACAACACATATCGAGTATACTGACATTTCATGATGCATCCAAGTGGAATCAGCTGTATCTGGGATCTGCTCAACCCCAAGAAAACTCTAAATAGGTGCCAATAGGAATCAACTTAGAATCAACAGGACCTGGAAGCTGCTTCATGTCAGTTCTTGGGATATTTCCCATCGGGATTCAACTTGAATTAGCAAGATATGGGGCCTGCTCAATTCCAGATATAATCTATCTCGATTCCAATAGGAATCTAAACCGCCGGACATAGAATCTGATCCATTCTAGTCAAGTCTTGATGGAAATGCAAGTCGAATCAGCAGGACCCGGGATCTGCTCCATTTCAATTAGATCTTCATTGGTTCCACGATTTGGTATCCAATTGTAATCAGCTGGGTCTGGGATCTGCCCAATTACAACTAGATTCCCATCCGATCCCAAAAGGAATCCAACTGGAATCAGTGGGATCTGGGATCTGGGATCTGTTTCATTGCAATCATATAATAATTCGATTGCAATGGGAATCCACTTTGAATCAGCTGGATCAAAAATCTGCTCAATTACAATGAGACTCTGGTCAGATTCCCGTCGGGATCCAATCGGAACCGGCTGTATCTGGGATCTCCTCCATTCCAATTCGCGTCTAATATTATTCCAATCGGAATCAAGCTGGAATCAGCTGGATCTGGGATCCGCTCAATTGGAATTACAATCCAGTCCGATCACACTAGGAATCTAGGCTGGATCAGTGACCTGCTCAATTCCAGTTCGGCTTGAATGGGATTCCAATCGGAATCCAATTCGAATCAGCTGGATACTGGGTCTGCTCCGTTCCCATTAGATTAGAATTCGTTCCAATAATTGACTCGGTGCTGCAACACGTTCGCCAGTCTGATATCCTCCTGGCACCTGATCATGCATGGACCACTGCATGACACTGCCTACGAGACGGCACCATCACACAGGACCGCGCGGCACCATGCCAACATTCGAGACTTCGCCACGACATGCTGGGGCCCTGACGGCACAGCATATGTAGTTACCATCCCCCCTCCCGATGCGGAACTCTGGGTCAAATCACTCAATGCGAAGCGGGATAACTGAGGGAGACTTGCGAAACATACCAACTGAGCACGCTTCCTTGGTAGTCTCGCACCACCACCTGTCGAGCACCTCCAAAACGTCGAAGCGCAAGGGCTTGAACACCTCCGCCCGACGAGAGCGGCAGTGGAAGGTGCTCTGCCCCAGCTCCCCTGAGGCCAATCAGCAACAGGGCAATGTGATCGCACGCGCGTCCTCTATCCTTTGTCCCTTCACCCTCCCTCCTCCCACCTCCCTCCACCCATCCTGCTTACCATTCCCCTCCTTCCCCCTTCTCCTCCTCCTCCTCCTCCTCCAATCCTTTCCCCTCCACTAGAACTGACCCCAAACATGTCCTGGCAGAGAAGCGTGCAAGCCTTTCAACATGGAAAGGGCAAAGCAACCGATGACCAAAAGAGTGCAAGGTGTCCTGATGACGAGCATGTTGCTCCAAATTGCAACAGAGCTTTGGGGAGTGGACCGCGCGGATGGGCGGGGGATGGATCGCACGGCAAGTCCATGTCGTGACGACTTGGCCGTTGGTCTCCAAACATCATGCGGATCCCCGAATATTGGGCAATCGAGGTTTTCGACAACGCAAGTCGTCCGATGTTGGCCGACTCCGGGCCACTGGCCGCACTCAACCTCGGACGCCCGCGACGGCGTCGCAGACACACCAGCACGACACGGACCCACCGACGACGGAGCGTGGCCTTTCAAAATGTAATCCCGTGCTCGCACAGCTGGACAGCGGTGCGGTCGGGTGGCCGCGCCATGTCTTCAAGGGGTGAGAACGGTGCTAGGTCGCTTCAGGGGCAGATCGCCGGGAATTGCAAGGGATATATCTGATTATGTCACTGTGCTCATCTGGCCCTTGGGCCCGTGCTCGTGATGGCGAGTATGGCAGCATACCAGTGTTGCGACTCCAAAGATCAGCGTTTCAGGTTGTCCTGGTGCATGTCGCAGACTACTCGCAACTAGTATTGCGTACATCCTGCTGTTCGTCAGCGGCTCTGCTGCAATGTTCCCGAACGTGTGACAAAGATGAATGGCAATAGTGACATTTCAGCTTGCAAACCACACATGCTAACACACTGGGCTTGCGGTGCACATCACCGACAGCACCACAAAACACGCCAACAGAGAAAACTGTCCCCAACGCGCGTGCCTCCTTGACATCGTCGTCAACATTGGCGCACTTATGGTTGGCGTACAGCAGCTTGGTAGAGTCGAACGAGCTCTCAACAATCTTCAAGCCAATTTTCCTGGATCGCGTGTCCATGCCACCTGAGGCAGGAGGAACGCAGCTGACATGGGGTCGGTTACAGTGGGGGCAATCAAGCACAATACCCGTGGTCAACAAGCTGGCGATGCAAATCACACGCACCGTCATAACATGATATCTGTCACCAGGTTGCACGCAAAATAGCATCCATACTGCAATTCCTTGCTCGGACCCCCCACGAGACACATCTCCCCACGGGACACATCTATACTTGTATATGTGTATATACATTTATGTGTACATATGTAGTGCGTGTATATGTGTGTATACACAAATATGTAGAGAGTGCACAGTAAGCGCATCATGTACACCACTGGCCAAAGCCATGCGCAGATGCAGGGGACATCTGTGCACATTGACATCGTAGGCGAACCAGTCATAGAGGTTCCCGCCGTACTGAGTGAGTGGGTCGGGGGGGGGGGCATGTCGAGGGGGAGGGGGAGGGGACTGGGAAGGTGAAGGACAAGAAACCACTTCAGATGATGGGAAAAGATGGTCGGAACGACGCTGAAAACGCGCTAACTGATAAGGTGGAACAAGGGACGCACGCCAAACGAACGGCAATGGCCACACATCGGCCGCTAATCGTCCTGCCCTCGCCTCCCCCATCCAACTCTCAACGCACCACAGAAACGCAACAACGACTTACACCACCCACCTGGGAACGACGGCCGAGAAAGCACCTGCACTCGACCGCTCTGGCATTCCTTCCTGATGCCCGGGCAAATGAGCCCTCCGAGGGGCCTTTGCAGGTCCAACGCGTGTCACACAGGCCCGAAGACCTTGATCATCGAACCTCCTCCCCTGGGGGCGCCCATCATCAAGGCGCATTCGCGCGGGCCCTGCAGAAGGAAACGTTCTTTTTCTAGCGGAAGTAGGCGGCCTGTCCGCCGCTCCTCAAACGGACAGCAATCGAGACGCAGACGACCAACCGAACAGTGCCACTCCACCGCCGCCGTGGCACGCCGCCGCATGCCTTCAGCCACTGCTCTTCCTCCTCCTCATCCTCGCTCCCGTCCTCGGTCGAACTTCCGTCGACTGCCCTGAAAATTCTTGGGGCGAACGCTTCACTCCTTCATGGATCCATGCCTGGAGTATCTTCATCTGGGTCACCTCTCCCATGCCGTCTTGGAGTATCACGCGAACTCCGCTGAACGAACACTTGTAACAGTTGGTGTAATAGATGGGCGGGATATGATCATATAGTCATGCGATGCTGGGATGGATAATACAATGGGTAAGAGGAAGACAAGTCACTCAAGGAGGGACGGCGTGTTCAGGAGGAGGGTGAACAGACGGAGGAACGTAATGCATACCAAGAAAACCGATGGTGACAAGGAGGATGAGGAAGAGCAGAAAGAGGAGAAGAAGGACGACGAAAAGGATTGTAAGAACGATGGTACTTCTTCTGAAGAACGGATAACACATTTCTTGATTCGTTGATCACGGCATTACTTATTGGACGAAGACGACAATCGAACAATGACTCAAATTCTAAAACACGACAAAAACCGCAACCCCATGGCGGGGCAACCAGGCCGAAGCACGGACCACGGGAGGGTAACGCCAGACGCAAGCCAAATGCGAGAGACAGGCAACAAAATTCAGCAAGGAGAAAAAACGAGGCGCCGGACTGGCGCGAGCCAGAAAAACACAACATAACCAAACAACCTTCAACCTTTTCTTCGTCGGCGGCGAGACGGAGGCGGTCCGCACCAGCGGCAGGGCTAATTTGGGGCAGCGATCGGCAAACTGTCCGGCGTGCAAGAAAGCGAGGCGGAGAGAAGGGCGGCCGCGCGGGGGGAGAAGGAGGTGGGCGCTCAGGCGTGAAGGAATTTTGAAGGGGCCCTGGGACACACAAGTAAATACACAGAAATACAAGGATTCCCATATTTTTCAATATTTCCTGGGTTTTTGAATTCTCCCCTGACTTCTCCCCCCACTTCCCATATTTTCCAATATTTTCTCGGGAATCGACGATTAATTGTGTCTGTGAGTTTCTCCCCCTCCTGAAAACGGGCCAGCCAGGGCCGGGGCCAGGGCGCACCCGCAGGCGCTGCCAGGGCGCAGTAGGGGTGAAGAGCAAGTAGAAACAGTACATACTGGCGCCCGAGGACTGCCATCAGCACAGGGCTGTACCCAACAGGTGCTTCAACCGAGCGGTGCCCACCGCACTCGCGCAGCAGCCGCGTCGGGCGCTAGCAGCGCCAGGGCGGCATCAGGAGGGTGTCAACTGCAAGCCAAGGGTGGAGCAGCGCGGCGGCGCCATGGCGGCGCGAGGTGAGGGAGGGAAGAGGGAAAGAAGGGCAGAGGAAAAGGAGAAGGGCTGCGCCCCGCCCGCGGGTGGCACCCGGGCGGGGCGGCGGCAGCCCGCGTGGCGGCGTGGGCGGCGGCCCGGCTGGGCCGGGGAGGCACCCGCCGATGCAGCGGCAGCACGACCGTTGAACTCCAGCATGCGAGACGACTTGTGCGAAGGATGCTCTCTATTACTTTAATGCACGACGTGCTCCATCATACACAGAATGCCAAAGCCCGCGCGAATACCCCTTGACAGTTTCGAATTCGTCCCAAGGAAGGCTACCACATTTATCTTCACAAGGCACTTCAGGGAACACGTTTCTATGACGTTGAAGTCGTTGAGGCAGCACCCGATCGACTCTCCAACAACCACAATCGCCGACACTCACGCTGCAGCCGCAGAATAATGATATCATGCGATGAATCCCAATGAGCATGTTTCATCGCACTTGTATCACACAGCCGAAGAGATTGAGAAAGTGATGTGGAAAGACAGCCCTGCAACAATCGATGGCAAACGCGTGAAGTCCCATATCGAGGCTACGCCTCCTCCACCACCTTGGCAGCTGTGAGTGCGTCGCTGACGTCAACAAGAAAAGGAAAAGGCGACATGGGCGGCAGAGGCGGCCATCGCCGACGGCGTTGAAAATATGTGGCAGACCTGTGCGGAGGGAACGCCCACAACCTGAGTGCGATAATTCCCCCGAAGGTTCCCATCATCAACAATGAAAGTATGCCTGCTCGCAACAATTCTGCATAAACGGCCAACCCGCCTATGCGGCCAGGAACAAGGGGACCGGCCACGGCCGTGCTCATCATAATGGTTATCGTCGTTGTCCTGTCCACCCGCTGAGGGGGCCTCCATGGATCACAAGTGCAGCAGGCGAAATCGCGCCGCGAAGTGATTCCATCAACCGTTGCAAACTGACTCGGGTAAGCGGTGGACGACGCGGATTAGTGAATACAGTAACATATACATGCATCGTGCGAACTCGATGCTGCGATCTGGGACGGGTGGCAGACCTCACAACAAATTGTGCATGTTGATCAGATTGCACATGCCGAATGCGAGCGGCAACGGCAATCTTGAGCGGGAAAAGCCGCCGTCGAAAGTGCGCGGAACAGCCGCGCACGCACTCAGCAAATACACGCGCCAAATTTTAAACATGGTGATGGTGATGGTGATGCTGATGATGATGCTGATGATGATGATGACGATGATGATGATGATTGGTTTAACAGAAACGGGGCTCAAGGGGAGGGTGAAAGCGGAAAGGGGAGGTCGAGCCCTCTGCCCGCGGAGACCGCGTATGATGCCGCCGTGCGCTACGCGCACGTGCTGGAGCAGCTCAATCTGCCCCGCACAGCGCGCGATCGGCGGGGCGCACCGCCGCCGACCAAAGATCTGAACATAAGTCAGCCACAACCGCTGCGTGAGGACAGGCAAGAAGATTACGTACACAAGATGAGAGATGTGTGCAAGAGGCGGGTCAGCCCAAAAAACTCACTCACTGCACATGTCACGTGCCTCACTCGTCAGCATTATTGATTCACCAACCATTCAGTCCATTCCTGTAGCTCCTCCATGTATCCAGGCACGCCCCGTAGATGCCGTGCTTCGAGCTGGCGCGTGACGGTCACGGGGTAGCGCTTCTCGCCCAAAATGACTTTGGCCTGGTCCTCCTTCGCCGTCTTGGTGATCCTGCATGCCCTGATGAGCTCCTCGACCTTCTCGCAGCTGTTGAAGTCCTCCACCGTCTTCTTGAGATGCGCCACGTTGGCGCTTCCGACCTCGTGTATCTCTGCCAGGCCGACCAGGAGCACGCCGAACATCAGAGTATGGAGAGGCCCGAGTAGTGGCATGTTTGGGTTCAGCCCCAGCTGGAGGCCTCCATTGTGAAGTCGCGAAGGAGAAGGAGGAAGAGGGACAGGAGAGGGGGAGGGGGTGGAGGGCATACGTTGAAATATTTGACGACGTGTGAACTCTGCTTCGATCCTACAGAATTCCTCCAGGACTCCTGAATATGGGGCCTGCTCCGTCCCTATTGAATTCCTTTTGGCTTCCACTGCGAATTCAATTGGAATCCTCTGAACCTGGGACTGGGCTCCCTTTCTAATGAGCCCCCTGCGGGCTCCTCTTCAATTCGCTGGAAGCCTCTGAACCAAAGGTCCGCTCAATTCCTGGTGAATTCGTGTGGAGCCCCCCACCCAAATCAAACAAGAATCGTCTGAAACCGCCGGCCCTGTCAGCGTGCGGGTGGGAAGCGTTTTTTCTCAGTTGGAACGCCACTCTCCCTCTCTCTCTCCGGGCCCTGGCCCTCGAGCGGCCAGGCCGGACGAAACTCGAAGAGCGTCGCGGTCGGCTCGAGGGGGATCCTCCTCCTCTTGATCCCTTCCCCGCGCCAAGGAAGGCGGGATGGCCGGGGGGTCCCGAGTTTCGTCCTGGGGAAGGGGGGGAAGCGAAGGGGGGGGGGGGCTCCAGGGGTCGTGACTCCCCCCCCCCGCTCCGACGGAGACGGCCCAAGGGAGCCCCACGGAACCGCAAGAGGGGGAGCACCAGTCGAGTCGACGGGAAGGCCCCCGATCCCTTCGCCGCCCGAGGGGGGCGGTCCCCGGAGGGGTTTTGGGGGGGGGTCCCCGGGCCAACAGGGGTCCACAAGGGCCCCCACAAAAGGTTCGAGAGCGTCGTCGTCGTCGTCGTCGTCGTCGTCGTCGTCGTCGTCGTCGTCGTCGTCCCCCTTCGAAGTCGGCGGCACTGGCCGTAAGGCCTTCGCAACAACTATGTAATATGCCCCATTCCTCTTGGCTTCTCATTCGGACGCTGTTCAACTCTAATAAAAATCAATGTGTTCCCAACTTCCTTGGATTCTTGTGAAAATTCTTAACGCTTGGTACCCAATTATACAAATAATCCTCTGGATCTGCAACCCTCTGAAATCATATTGGGATCCCATTGCGCTGAGATCAGGTTTCTCTAGGTTCAGGATCAGAAGCGGGAGTTCTCGTCATCGATAAACGAATAGTGTTGCAGAACGGTGGTGGTGGTGACAGAATCGTGGTGATGGTGCAGGTGGTGGTGGTGAAGCAAAAGGTGGTGGTGGTGGTGGTGGAAGTGATGGCGGTAGCAGTGACAATGCGCGTACTGGTCGTAGCCGTATCCATAAAAGTTTTATGAATACAACTAATGGGAAGCAGTGGTGGGGGGGAAATCATGGGAGACATTACCACACAGCCTGGCCCAAACAAAATTGTGGAAATGGTGGAGGGGTTGTAACGGGAAGTACTGGGAAACGTGCTGGTCTTGGTACCAGTGGTATCGGGAGCAACGTCATAGTATAAGTAAGGGCGCATCAACATAGCATTGTGCTACACTCGGCAGTGTAAGGAAACGACGTGCGCGCGGTGGTGGCATATTCGAAGTAGTGGTAGAAACGGCCCTCGTGATAACACCAGTAAAAACACTTGTGAGATCTGTACTCCCAACGGTGGTGCGAATACTGTCAAGTATGCGCTGGTAGCAACAATAGCACTTATACCCTGAATGCCGGGAGGGGATTGATCAAGGGAAGCAACATGAACAGCAAAAACATGACCACCACTACCACGACCAAAGCCGCATCCTGCCCTAAGCACGGCGGCGGTGGTAACGAAATTAGTATAATCGTGTTCGTGGTGGACAGGTGGTGGCTTTCGTGGCACCACCACAAACGCCACCACATCCTGCCTCGGGAAGGGCAGTGGCCGCACAGAGTTCAAAATGGTAATGTTGCTGGTTGGTGGGGGTGGAAGCGTTCGTAGTAATGGCAGTCGTAATCATACGAGTCGTATTCATCGAATTTGTACTGGTAATAGTCGTGGTAGTTTTAGTAGTAGTAGTAGTAGTGGTAGTAGTAGTAGTAGTAGTAGCAGTAGTATTAGTAGTACTAGTACTAGTAGTAGTAGTAGTAGTAGTAGTAGTAGTAGTAGTAGTAGTAGTAGTAGTAGTAGTATTAGTCGTACTAGTATGAGTAATAGTAGTAAACGTAGTAGAAGTCGTAGTAGATGTAGTGCTAGAACAAATACTTGTAGTTGTAGCAGTAGTAGTCGCAACAGTGGTAGCAAGAGTAGTCGTAGTCGTAGTCGTGGTAGTCGTAGTAGTAGTAGTAGTAGTAGTAGTAGTAGTAGTAGTAGTAGTAGTAGTAGTAGTAGTAGTAGTAGTAGTAGTAGTAGTAGTAGTAGTAGTAGTAGTAGTAGTAGTAGTAGTAGTAGTAGTAGTAGTAGTAGTAGTAGTAGTAGTAGTAGTAGTAATCGTGGTAATACAAGGGGTAGTCGTAGTAGTAGTCGTAGTAGTAGTGGTATTAACAGTAAGAATCGTAGAGGTTGTGCATATAGTGGTAGTCGTAGTAAGAACAGAAGTAGGAGTGATAGTAGTAACAAGAATCCAACGAGTAGTGCCAGGAGTCGAAGTAGTCGTACTAGTAGCAGTAGAAGGAATAGTATCAGCAACAGCAGCAATACCTGTAGTCGTACTCGTACTGAAAACAATAGTAGCGATCGTCGTAATAGTAATGGTAGTAGTAGTAGCAGCAGTAATAATAATAGTAATCGTGGTAGTGGGAAATCGCAAGGGTCGTAAAAATAGTAATCGTAGTAGTAGTAGTAGTAGTAGTAGTAGTAGTAGTAGTAGTAGTAGTAGTAGTAGTAGTAGTAGTGGTAGTAGTAGTAGTAGTATTAGTAGTAGTAAAAGCAGTAGTAGTAGTAGTAGTAGTAGTAGTAGTAGGAGTAGTAGTAGTAGTAGTAGTAGTAGTAATAGTAGTAGTAGTAGTGTAGTAGTAATAGTTGTAGTAGTCGTCGAAGTCGTAGGCCTAGTAGTAGTAGTAGTAGTAGTAGTAATAGTAGTAGTTGTCGTAGTAGCAGAAATAGTCGTAGTAATAAAAATAGTCGTAGTGGTAGTGGTAGTAGTAGTAGTAGTAATAGAAAATCGTAGTAACGATACTACTGCGAATAGCCGTTGCAAAGCTGTAGTATTACAATACGTGGTCGTAGTAGTAGCAGTAATGGCAGTGGTACCTGTAAGATTAAGAGAACTGATAGAGCAACGTAGTAGTAGTAGTCGTAGTAGTAGTCGTAGTAGTAGTAGTACTAGTAGTAGTAGTAGTAGTAGTAGTAGTAGTAGTAGTCGTAGTAGTAGTAGTAGTAGTAGTAGTAGCGGTCGTAGTAGTAATAGTAATTGTGAAAATAATAGTCGCAGTCATACTAGCAATTATCGTATCAATAGTAACACTAGAAGAAATAATAGTAAGTGCAGTTGTAGCCGTAATAACAATACTAGTCATATGCGTAGTCGTAGTCGTAGTAGTAATAGCAGAAGCAATACTGAGAGAAGTAACCGTCGTAGTCGTTGTAGTAGTCGTAGGAGTAGTAGTAGTAGTAGTAGTAGTAGTAGTAGTAGTAGTAGTAGTAGTCGTAGTAGTAGTAGTAGTAGTAGTAGTAGCAGTAGTAGTAGTAGTAGTAGTCGTAGTAGTAGTAGTAGTAGTAGTAGTAGTAGTAGTAGTAGCAGTAGTAGTAGTCGTCGTCGTGATAGCAGGAAGTAACCGCACTAACTATGCGAGTAGTGGTCGTAGTAACAGTAGTAAGAGTCGTCGGCGTCGTCGTCCTTGTATTAAAGGTGGCACGCGGTATGCAAACGTAGCACTAGTGGTCGTAACGGCCGTAGCCGTAGTCGCTGTCTTAGTCGTAGTCGTGATACTAATGGCAGTGGTGGGCGCCCTAACTGTACTAGTAGTAGCCGTAGTCCTCGTAGTAATATTGGTAGTGGTAGTAGTATTAGTATTAGTATTAGTATTAGTAGTAGTAGTAGTAGTAGTAGTAGTAGTAGTAGTAGTAGTAGTAGTAGTAGTGGTAGTAGTAGTAGTAGTAGTAGTAGTAGTAGTCGTAGTAGTAGTAGTAGTAGTATTCGTACGACTACTACGTGGAAATGGTAAGCGTAATGGTGGTATTCTTGGGATAGTCAAGAACAGATGCAAATAATATTAAGAAATGCGCATGATAAGATAGCGGTGCTACTACTGATCCTGCGACCCGTAATAGTAGTAGTCGTAGTAGTAGTAAGAGTAGTCGTAGTAGTAGTAGTAGTCGTAGTAGTAGTAGTAGTAGTAGTCGTAGTAGTAGTAGTAGTAGTAGTAGTCGTCCTAGTAGTGGCAATAGCACTAGCAGTAGTCGCAGTAGTCGTGGTAGTAGTCGTAGCAGTAGTAGCAATACTAGTCGCACTCGGAGTAGCACTAGTGGTCGTTGTAGTAGCTGTACTCGTGGTCCGAATAATGGTAGTAATAACATAACCGTAGTCGTAATGTACATAGTAGTAGTAGTCGTCGTCGTCGTTGTCGTCGTCGTCGGCGTCGTAATCATAGACGTCGTCGTAGTAGTAGTAGTAATAGTAGTAGTAGTAGTAGTAATAGTAGTCGTAGTCGTAGTAGTCGTAGTAGTCGTAGTAGTCGTAGTCGGAATTGTAGTAGTGGTATTACTAGTAGTGGTAGTAGTAGTAGTAGTAGTAGTAGTAGTAGTAGTCGTAGTAGTAGCAATAATAGTAGCAATGGTAGTCGTAATGAGAGTAGTAATAATAATTGTAGAAGAAGAAGTAATAACATTAGTAGTAGTAGTAGTAGTAGTAGTCGGAGTAGTCGAAGTAGTGGTCGTAGTAGTGGTGGTGAAAATCGAATAGTGATAAGAGTGGTACGCGTAGCAAGAATAGTAATAGTAGTAGTAGTAGTAGTAGTAGTAGTAGTAATAGTAGTAGTAGTAGTACGAAACATGGGTGGCAGTCGTAGTAATAGTACGAGTTGTAAACGTAGTCGTCGTCGTAATAGTCGTAGTAATGGAAGAGTCGTAATACTATTAGGAGCCG